TAGAATTGTAGAAGAAAAAAATTCAAAGTTAAATAAAAATTATTGTGGGAAATTAAGATTAAAATTCGTTTAAAATTTAACTGTTTAGGAGTGTGAAGGGGAATAATAGGCTGAGGTGTGTAGGAGACTAGTGCAGCACGGTTGGAAGATAAAAGGCGAGGGAAAGTGTGTAGGAAACTGATGGTGAGGGCGACGAGATAAGGGGGGAAGTACAGTGAATTGGGAGGAATAGACTTTTGGTAAGTGACTTCTGTTTCATACAAATCTGTCGTTTTTAAAATTCCAGCCCCCTCCCCCCCCCAGTACGTGACATGAAGAACTTTCTTCTAAAAAATGTGTTTGTAAGTGTAAAAAGTCTTCTTAAAAGAGATAGTTTCAAAATCATCATCATTACTGTCATTATCACAGTTATCATTATCATCATCATGATTATTACTATCATCCTTATCATAATTATGAATATCATTATTATGGTAATGATGATAATTTTTAATTATTATCATCGCTAGTACAATGATCATCATTATCATTATTGTCATTATAATCAACATAATTATAATTATTCTCATATAGCCCTATCATTCCTCTCACAGATTGGTTTACGAAAATTCAATCTCATAGTAGTATTAGTTGCTGAGAATTTAAAAAATAGACGATTCAAAGTGCATTGTAGTTGTAAACTAGGTAATAAGATGTTTATTAACGTCTGGCATGTTCCTTTTCTAATTTTTTTTAAAGTTATTTGTGTATGTTTATATATCTGAAAACCTGTAAGTACTACTGACTTAAAAAAATTAAATGCTTTAATTTTTACATGCTATTACTATTCAAAAAAACACATACTACTCGAAAAAAGGTAAGAAGGATACAAATTCGGATGTAATTTAAAAAAAGTATATATATATGTATGTGAACCACCTGTGATTTTACCACTTTTAAGTCAATACCATGAACGTATTCAGCTGTTGTTATAACGTAATGGAAAGTTTGGATAGTTAACTGAGTTATGTACGAATTTGTTCGTTTTGCATCATTCAAGCAAATACATTGCAAGAAATCAAAAACAATTTATAAATTGAAGTGACAAGGTCATGTTTG